TGGTTCCTGGAACTGGTAACTCTACTGTGATTCTGTAAAAGAATGTCCTTGTCCTTAGGAAATACACACTGAAGTATGAACGATTAAAAGGACATGATGGTTGCAACTTTCAAATGGTTCCAAAAAAATGTATATATATACATACACACGCACATGTGAGCACGTGTGTGTGTGTGTATGTGTATGTGTGTGTGTGTGTTGAGACAGAAAGAAAGAGAAACAGAAAAAGAAAAAAAAAACAAAGCAAACACGGGAAACACTAACTGGTAAATAAAGGAAACATGTAAGAGTTCTCTGGGATATAGTTGAAATTACCCTGCAAGCTTGAAATTATTTCCAAACAAATAAATGAATAAAGGGGTTGGACTAAATTATGAATAAGGCCCCTCATTCTAAACCTTGCGGTTGGAAGGCAGGGCCTGATGTAACCGTCTTCCCCAGGTGGACAAGCAGCCTCAGCAGTGCCTGGTGTGTGCATGCAGCGGGAAGCTGCCCTGAGGACTCCCTGTGGGACAAGACGCTGAACAAACACTTGCAGTGACATTCATCGTCTCCGCCATCAGCTGTGGGACTGGAAAGTCTCGTTCCCAGATATGTGCCTCCAGAAGAGGCTCCAGGGGCCACCCTCTGCTGGGGACTGGTGGGCACGGCGCCATCCCCGGAGGCAGGGCAGCCCGCCTAGCACCCTGAGACCCACCGCTCAGAACCGAGGCCCCACTCTTGTCTCCCTCTGATGAACACCAGTTCAGAGCACGGCTGGAGCTTGTATTTTCTCCTCTTAAAACTGTCTTCTCCAACAGCCATGTCAAGTGCCTCCATGGTCTTACTGTCTGCAAAATTCCCGTTCACAGGAGGCTTTTCAAGGTACCATTTTTCCAGGGCCAGAGAGACCTGGATCATCAAAAGATGAAGCCCTAAGTCCTGTGAACCGTTGTGGGGGGAAACTAAGTTACCACTAGCACAGACACCCTTGGAAGTAAGGAATCTATTTATTTATTATTCACAGTTGGAAATGTTTTATTTATTTATTTGTTTGTTTGTTTATTCATTCATTCATTCATTCTTTGGAACAATCAAAAAACACGGATCAGTATTAATAGTCTTCAAATATATGAATAAGGTGATGGATACAAAGATCTCTTCTACTGCCGTTATGAACGCCTGCAGGCAAGGAGCTGCGTCTCACCCACCCGTGGGCCCCTCACAACGTTTAGCGGTGCTGAGTTCCAGAACCGGGGCCATCAGCCAGCACTGACCCCTGCAGACTGCAGCTGAAACAGTGGCCCTTCCCTTCAGACCAAGCAGCCTGCACTCAATCATGATCAGCTCCTTTATTTATGGAGGAGAGCTGTCAGGAGTCAGAGAAGCCGTTCACCTGACCTTCGGAGGGTCCTTCTAGTCGAATGATTCTCAGATGGCATTTGTGTAACATTCAAGTGATAGACACATCCAATAACTCAAAAATATAGAAACCCTTATTTTAATACAGCAGTTGGGAATACAATGTGAAAAACATAAGCCTGAGATTTAAATGGTTCTGAATTAAAATGCAAATAAATGGGGAAACCAGGAAATTAGGTTAAAGCAGTTTGGCCAATGCCAATTAGAAATTCTACCTAATATTGACAGTAACAATGTTTAGAAAATCGAGGTAATTAACTCTTGCTGACATGACTGAGAATCGGCTAAATAAGATCCCCGAAAAGAGCAGAATGATAGGAGAAAGGAGGACACAGTTGTACAGACACAAAAGGGGACTCATGAGGGGAAAGCAAATCTGCTCGAGGCGGAGGGAGGAGGGAGAGAAAGACAAGCGCGGGGTAAGACTCCAGCTCTCCTCCTCGAGGTTTTCAGACATATTTCCCATCCCGCCCAGCCCCTTGTCTCAGCACAAAATGTGCAACAAAGGCCGCTGAGAACAGAGTGACAGACTGCAAACCACAGCAGCTCTTCAGTGCCTGAGGCCTGATGCAGGCCTGCTGTCTACACGTTGTTTGGTCCATGGTAAATTCCTATCAAATCTGGACTAATAAAATGTCCTTGAAAAGTGAGTCTGCAGAGTTGCAAGTTTTAGACAGATGGTTGGAGCCAGACTAACAATAAGGAACTGAGTTTTCCTCTCTGGCAAGGCAAGATGGTTGTGTAACACAACCAAGCTGATGGGAAGGCTACGTAAGCCAGAGTAATACACTGCAACTGATTTTCAAAAACCACAGAAAACCTCTCTCTTAAACTTGTAATATCTTAGTAAGGTTTTCCTTAACCTTCCAAACAATGAAAATCAATCAACGTCAGGATAGAAAAATTTTTACCCACAGAAAGTGTTTACAGTCAAGTCGGTTAATACTAGTTTATTTGCAGCCAACTCCCTGAAGACAGCAAACAGTGATATTGGTGGCCCTCTGCAGTAGGCTGGTGAATTCAGCAAAGTATTAAGATCAAGCAGATGCCAAATGCATATAACTAATACTCTTTGAAATCCAGAAATGCTGGCAAGAGAATGAGTTCTTGAGTCTAGGATTTTTAAAGTGGAGGTTGTGGGGGAAAGTGAAATGCCACCTCCCAATCACTCAACCCCAACACAATGCTTGACTGTCTACGGGGCAAGAGCAAGCTTGTTTGTGACTTTTGAGACGTCATGAGCAGGTCTGAGGTGAATGTCCTTCGCTGCTGAGTTAGAAGTCAGCTACAGCAGGCAGAGCTTCTCAGAGAGTTCCCCAGGCTGAGAACTCCCCTGGTGAGTGCTTTTCAAATATGTCCACAAATTCTTTGAAACTACTCCCATCAAGAAACAGAGTCTAATTTTCCTTCCCTTAAATGTGAGCTGGACTTAGTGACCTGGATCCAATGAAGAAAATGAGGCTGGAAGTGACCTGCTGTGACTTCTGAAGCTGGGTTATAACAGGACGCACAGCACCTGCCAGGCTCTCTCTTGAGCTGCTCACCCTTGAACTCCAGCTGCTGTGCTGTGAGGAGGAGGCCAGGCCAACGGGGGACACAGGCGGGTGTTCCAGCCGATAGGTCCAGCTGAAGTCCCAGCCCACAATCAGCATCAAACAACTAATCTTATGCGTGTTACCTCAACCAAGTGAGTGAGGAAGCCCTCAAGAAAATGCCAGCTCTTACCGCCCAGCCACCATTTGACTGTGACCACAGGAGTGAAAATCATGTAGATGAGGCCAGTCAACTCACAGAATCACAAGAGAGAATAAAAATCAACAAGCGTTGTTTTAAAAGAGGTCTGCAAACTGTGGCCTGTTGGTAGAATCTAGCCTGCAGCCCATTTTTCTACAGCCAGTGAGCTAAGCTGGATTTGGTACATTTTTAAAGGGTTGTAAAAGAAACAGAACAAGACAAAACAAAGAAAAATTTGTAAAAGAGACCATATGTGGTCCTCAAAGCCTAAAATAGTTATGGCCCTTTAAAGAAAAAATTTGCTCACTACTGTCGTAAGCCACTAAAGTTTTCAGATGGTTTGTTATGCAGCTACAGATAATTGGAACACATGGTGCCTTTGGAACAAAATAAGTGTCATTGATGGGCAGATGCTGGATTTAGAGCACCAGGAAGGTCACACTGAATAGCCACAACCCAACTGCTCTCTGCAAGTCAACACTTATCCTACCAATGATTGCTACTGTACAGTATTCTAATTTCACAAACACACTTGATCAGCCAAAGCAAAAGTGACGGTATTATGATTCATCACCCATGAAGAGCACCTTAGACATGTGTCTCAGATTTGATTCTAGATTAAACTCCAAATTCTGAGGGACTCAATAATTTTAGTAATAACAACTAGCATTTACTGAGTCTTTACTAAGTTCCAGACACTGTTCTAAGCTATTTCATATGTATTATTTCAGTTAAGCCTCATGACAACCCTTATTTACATTTTACGGATGAGAAAACTGAGGCACAGAGAAATGATCAAACTGGTCCAAGATCACACGGGTAGTAAGTGTGGAGTCAGGACTGACTTGCATCTGTGAAATTAATGACTGCACTCTGCTGCTCCTCTCCAGAAAAACAAAATGTCTAATCAAGACATCCAGCCCTGAGTCAAAGAACACAGCTGGCTTCCCTAGGGAGGGCAGCACCCTTTGACCTCCCTGACCAGACTTCCCTGGTTGCCTGCCAAGGGTGCTGTCCATCCACTAGGAATCAGGACTGGGACTTGGGTCTCCATCTCTTTCCCCTGAAGCCTAGGACCTTGATTAGCACTAATTTTTTTGTGAAGAGGATCTGAAACTGCTAGACTAGCTCCAAACTACCGTTAGTTTTCAGCTGTTCTTTCCAAACCATCAAAGTCTTCCCCAAATTTTCCCCCTGGTTTCTGTCAATCAACTCATGGAAAATTATGCTTGCCGAAGGAATGATCCTCAGAGGGAGATGCAGTATACATTGCCAGCCTTTGGCTAAAGAAAATCAACAGACTGATCAAGAGCCAATCAACAAACCACTGTTAGGACCAGTGATCATGGAGGATGAAATGAGTATCAGTTTTCTCACCTGCGAAGTGGAAGTGATAACACCTATCTTTATGATTTGTTGTGTAGATTAGTGCCAAGATGTATAAAGGGCCTAACCCAGTGTCAGGCATTCAATTAATGGTGGTTATAATTATTGTAATTTTAACACAGAACATGCTTCTCTTTTAAAGACCTGATAACTGGCCAATGACATTTCACTGAATAACTGGAAAAGCCGTTAATCACAAAGAAAGATCCACACTGATGAGATAAGACACAGAATATGAGTTGCTGCTTCCCATTGGGTCACACACTTTTTATCTCCCTTTGTAATAAGCCTTTCTAAGCTGAAAGGTGTGGTTTTAACTATTTATAAAAATGGCCTCTTGACATTCTTTTTTCCAACTGAACTTGGCATCAATAGCTGAGATCAGTGTGAGAAAGAAAGGGCGATGCTCTGACCTTAACAACATGCGAGGCCACCCCAGCACCGTGACCAGAGGCACACACAGCACCTTGTCTACTCACCAGAAGGGAAAGATGATGAGGCGGCTGATGAGAAATACGGCGGAGAAGATGAAAAACAGAATGTTACAGGTTTGCTTCCATCTGGCATAAGAAAACATCTTAGCAGACTGAGAAAAAAAGAAAGAAATTGCATTCAGAGAGCATGATACTAGAATAAAATCCTCACATTTAATACTTATGAATGGAATGATGTATTGGATTTGCTTCAAGGTCTCAGTGGGGGGCGGGTTATGGATGGGAAGTAGGTGCAACAAGACCGGCCGTGCTGATAACTGTTAAAGCTGGATTGTGGCTCCACTAGGTCTGTATACTCTTCTCCTTATCTTGTGATATGTTTGAAATTTGCTATAATGCAATGTTAAAAAATAGTTAAAAACGACTCTAATATTACTCCTGTCTTTCACAAGCCCTACAAATTAGCATGATTCTGGCATGCATCTCATCTGGGTATTTGCTGACTTCCTCCATTTAACCGGGAGGAGAGCTGGCACTTTGCAATCAAGCTGGCTACTTTAAGGCCGATGACAGAAGAGGCAGAGCCTTGTCCTGGTTGAGATGAAGTTTTAAGTGCTTGATTTTCCCTACTTACTTTATGCTAGTCTGTATTGCTCATATTATCTGTGTTGAGTAAAAGGAATAACAGAAAGTGTCATTTAATGTGGTACTAAAAGTTACTTAAGAGGGGGTGGGAGGTGGTCGGGGCTGCTGAGTGTAGACCATCTCTCTAGGGAGTGTGGCTTCGGCCTGCCAGTTCAGAACTGAAGTCACCCCAGAGGCTCCCGGCCCATCTAGTACAAGAGAGGCAGTGTATTACACCATCAGGAATGGTTTACATTGTATTTTCCATACTTCCCATGGGCTAAGGATATGATCAGACCGTGGGGTAGGCAGGAGGCCCTAAAGGGAGTAGCCTCCGTTCTGAGACAGAAGGCTAGCATGCCAGGTGGCGCCAGAAGTTTAGAGGGCTTGGAATGGAGTGGGGAGCTGTTTGAAGGGTCAGAGGTCAGGCCAGGGTGGGTAGCTAGAGACGTGCACAGGCGTGAAGGCAGCCCACGTGCGAGGGCAGAGTAGCACTCTTTTGGGCAGATACACTTGCAGCCAATTCTGGGCTATGCAAACATGGGTATCAGACAGTAACCCCTCTCCTTTGCTAAGGATCAGTCAAGACACTCTTAAAGCGCTGGGTCCTGGATCCAAACTTGAACGTGCAGGATACTAGAAAGCATCAAGAAGATGCATGAAGAAGGCAAAAGGCTGCTTATGAGTAAAAATTACAGATGCCGAAGCTGTTCTTCCTTGCTAAGAACTGACCCACCAACTATCCTGAGGAACATGGAAGATTAATAGTCTCCATCTTTAGGAAGGTCTAAACAGAGTCAAGAGTTGTACCATGTCTGAGTTCAGTAAGAACCTGACTGAGAGGATAAATACTAAAACAAACCACTCAGGGAAGCTGTGGAACAGGCTCTCCTGGAGGATATCAGAGAGGCTCCAGCCGCTCCGTAACGCTGTCTCCACCAGCTGATGGAAGGTACTGGCCTTGCTCATTGAACCTCAAGTTAAATCATGACTTGTGAATCAAGAATGATTCATGATCACTAACAACACGAAGCTGTTCACATAGTTCAGCCATGAAGGGACCTGAGTTTGACATCTCACTTTTCTTCTGTGTGTTTTTTTTATGTAAAGACCTCAGAATATTTTCAAACATTTTTCAAGCTAAAATGTTTAGCAAAGAGCTAAACATTACAATATACCCTAAGGGGTAGGTACGACTTCTCATGTTACAGCTGAGGACAGAAAAGAAAGCATTAAGTGATCTGTCCAAGTCACCTACCAATGTCATGTCATGTCAGTGACAGGTGGACAGCGAGACGGTGCTTATTCCCAGTCCCAACATCTCCCTCTCCCTCTCAGTAACACGATGAAGCAGTTTTTACAGTGGACTCACACCAAAGGTAACCGAACTAGAGGGTCAGAAGCACAGAGCAGCATAAAATTCTTCAGTCATGGCCAATGTGGTTTTAATTTTCAGACAAGGTTACTGAGATATGATCAGAGAAGGCAGTAATTATGACAGAGATGGCTACTTTCAGAGGGCAACACGTGGAAAAATTGGCACAATCCCTCTTTTGCTAAGCCACAGGCTGCCCTGAAGCACACACAGTAGCCTTGACCTTTAGAATTTGATTTACATGTCTAATTACGATCACATACAAGAAAGGAAATTCTGTCCACAGCTAGTACTTTAACTGTAGTCAGTTGCTTTAAATGGCTTCAGATGATTTCTGGTTACGTCTAGAATGGGATTGGGCAAATTACAGTTCAGCCTATGGGCTAAAGCCAGTCAGCCCTTGAGTTAAAAATGGTTTTCACATTTTTAAAGGGGTATAAAAGAAAAGAAAAAACAACAGCAAGGAAAAAATATGTAACAAGAGATCTTACCTCGCCTTTTACTAAGAAGTTTGCTGAACCCTGATCTGGAAGAACAAGATCCTATTAAATTAAATTAAATTAAATTTCTTCCATATCAACTTTCATTCCATTTATTAAGCTCTTCAAGAGGCAATTCTGAATGCAAAGTGGGCCAGTATCATTTTCCCCAATTACATTATAAATAGGTATATTTAAATGGTGAGCCAAGTGGCCCTGGGAAATGTGGCTCTAAGTACAGCAAGAGGGCTGCTGCCGTTAAGAGACCCACTGCCTCAGGGTAAACAGGAACCAACACACGACAGAAATATGTAGGGAAAATAATCCCAATTTCGTTTTGTTCCTCACATTTTGCGTGGTGTGGGATTGGGAAGACTCTTGCTGTACTGTCCCCTGCTCCAAAGCATTTCTTCCTTAGAAAATCAGTGTCATTTAAATAAACATCAGCTCTCATTCCTTAAAGCTGGGGGAGGATCCCTGCAGGACAGTGCAAGCATCCAGTGGGTGCTCAGCCTCGGCTTAAGTGAACGTATGGCGCCATCCAACATTAAGACTCCACCATGCCATAGGACTTCTGTTTTCCTTTTAAAAGATTAGAGTCCATTCCTTCTTTGGATACCTCAGCTTACTTTCTGAGCTAGTCTCTGCATGAAACTTGCATAAATGGAATCCCACAAGTTAACCTCTCTCTCGAGCACCATGGAGAAGGAAGGCTGGAAACTAAAAACTGAAAGCTTTCCTTTCTTTGAGCTTGAGGGATCTGGGAACCTAGAGACATCTACAGACTCTGGGTGCTTTCAGAACGGAGAGCTCTGCTAAATCACTCACAGGCAATTCTTCCTGTGAGGAGTCACAGAAACACGGGACATGGTATTGTTATTAGTTATCTAATGGCAGACGCTTACCTCCAGCCAAAAGTCGGCCACATCGTGCACAATCATCACAAGGGTCCCACTGCGAATATAATTAGCACACCAAGAGAAGCTCATCAAACTAATCGCAGCCAGGTGGTGGATGACATGAGCTAGAAAGTCCTACATAATGAGGGGAAATGGATACCATTGAGCAAATGCAGTTATTTCCCAATCACTGAAAGAGATGATGATAATGATAATGATAATAATAATAACAACAACAATTTTAAAACTAACAACTTACATCTGCATTTTTTGAAATTTGTAAAATGCTTTCACTTTAAGTCTTAAACACAATCCTTGTGAGGGAGATAGAGCAAGTTTTATCCTCATTGATGAAGTTGCTTAACTTGGAGACAGCACTGAACAGCTGTCACCTAAGTCCTAACATCCACTGTTCTTCCCACTCCCCTACAGTGGATACACACACACACACACACACACACACACACACACAGAGACAAGCATATTCCTGTGTACATTTACATTTATTGTTTATTCCATGTTTAATTCTAAAAAAGAAACAAGACAGATACAACAGAACTACACAAGTATTAAAATCAGAGTTACTGCATATAAAATAAGTAACAAATGAAAGTGGAATAACTGTATCAGCAAATATACACCACACCTACCAGGATAGCTGTAATAAAAAAAACAGACAATAACAAGTGTTGGCAAGGATGTGGAGGTGTTGGAATCCTTACATATTGATGGTAAGAATGTAAAATGCTGTAGCTGTTTTGTTAAATAGTCTGGCAATTCTCCAAAAGTTTATACATAGAACTACTAGATAGTCCTACAATTCTATCCCTAGATAAACACCTGGGAGAAATAAAAATCCATGTTCATGCCAAAATTTGTATATGAGTGCTCATAGTGGTATTATTTATTTATAATAGCCAAAAAGGTAGAAACAGCCCAAATATCCATCAATTGATAAATGGATAAACAAAATGTAGTATATTCACATGGTGGACTATTATTCAGCAGTAAAAAGGAATGGAGTACTGACACATGCTACAACATGAATGAAACTTGAAAACATTATGCCAAGTGAAAGAAGCCAGATACAAAACCCCATGTACTGTATGACTCTATTTAAATGAAACATGCAGAAGAGGCAAACCCACGGAGACAGAAGTAGATCAGCGGCTGCCCAGGACTGCGGAGGTTGGGAGAAGTGGGGAGTGACTGCGAGAGGGCACAGAGTTTCTACTCGAGGTGACGGAAATATAACTGCCCATGGTGATGACTGCAGAATTCTGTGAATATACTCAAAACCACTGAATTATGCACTTTAGATAGATGAATTGTATGAGATGTGAGTATCTTGATTAAAATGTTTTTAAGAATTTAAAGATTTCAGTTTCCTTGTAGCCAAAGGAAATAGTAAACATGATACTAACAGCCTGATTTATTGAGTACTGTCTATACACTGGGAAGTGCTTTATATGGATTAACTTGCTTAATCCTCACAACCACCAGAGGAGATAAGAACTGTTTTTAGCTTCACCCTACGGATGAGAAGATCAAGTAGAGGGAATTTAACCAACTAGCTCGAGATGCTAATGAGTGGTGCAGCCAGGGACCCAAACCTGGGCAATCTGACCTGAGCCTGTGTTTCACCCACCTCCTGATAGTTTATGTCTCCAAAGGTATGTCTTTACAAACATGGGACATATATCTACATTTCATGTTTGAAAAGGTGCCTGATGCACCTGTAAATAATGAAGAGAAACCAAACTACTGAAAAATCAAAGGATCAAAAGTGAAAAAAAGATAAGATCATTACAGGATTAACCTACCTGAGTGTATCTAGGAAGACCTTCTAAATAATGACTATTTTCAATTCTATCCCTTGAGAAAAATGACTCAATTAATTATATTGTGATACAGTCTCAGATTAAAGTTAACAAGTTAATTTATAGCCTTTATTAAATTTTCTGAAAAATGAGTTCACTTTTCTCAGATTTTCACAGTATGTTTTTATGCTTCGATTCTGTAAATTCAAAATCTTCAGTTGATGGCAGTAGATTGGGCCCCTTCGTGATGGCTAACGTACTCTATCACTCACGCAAACATCATTTAGTCAAGCCAAGTTGGTTTTAGCTCCTTAATACTGAATTCAACTTAATTTTATTTATCATATAAATTTTGCTACAAACTGACATTTTATATAGAAGTTTATGCCAAGAGTATTTGTCATCTGATCTGTACTGCTAACATATATCATGAAACCTCATGACTGTACTGAGAGTCTAATATTTTCCGTACCAGCAAACAGGAGTCAGTATGGACCAAACAATTCCTAAAACATCTCACTTTGTGACTTCAGAGGATGCACTTAGCATGCCTGTGACTCAGTTTCCCTGCAAATAAAGCAAACCCAATAGTGCCTGAAGCAATGTTTCCTGACAAGGATCTTAGATGAATTAAGGAAAAAATGTGTTCAAAGTCACTGAATATATCAAAAGAATTCTATAAAGGGGTTTGTAATCAACTAAAAGATGTGACAGTAGAATTAAAACTACTAGCACTTTCTTCTTTGCACTGAAGAACACTAAATTCCAAAACCAAAGGGGAAAAAAAAGATACCAAAAAGGAGAATTCTTTTTGTATTGAATAAGAGTGGAGCTTCAAAATTAAAGTTTCTACAGAAATAGAAATATTTCACTACAAATACTTACCAGAGCATGGACATATCTGTACTATTCCATGTGCTAAAAAAGTTTAAAAAGCTATGAGCTGAAATTAAACACACACAAAAATACAATTTAAAGAATAGATTTAAGGGGATGAAAACTTTTGAAAAACTGGATAAAGAAGCTTTATAAATAAGACACTTACCTTCCTCTTGATATCAGAGCCAAGGCTAAATAAGAGAGACCAATAAAAACTCATCTCCAAAACGTAGTACCAGTACTGGGATGGCAGCAAGGCCTGAGGAAAGCAAGAGTATTCACTACTTTAATGTCACCATATAAACAACTTATTTTGGGGATTAAAACTATTGTTTATGCCTATTTATGTCTATGCCCAGCAAAAACTATCCTTTCAAAAAAAAATGAAGGTAAAACAATAACATTTCCAGAAAAGCAAACCAAAGGGCCTTCTTCATCCAAAAGTATCATAGTCCCAGAAGGCAGCGTGGAAATGCAGGAGGCAGGGAACACCATGGAGAGGGCAACTTGAGTGATTCATAAACCAGTGACGGTAGCGACCTGTCGGGTTTTAAACATCTGAAGGATGGGATAGGAGTAGGCTGATGACCTTTCAGTGACTGGTAAGAGGTAAGAGTTTTCATTTGTACTAGACTCTAATAATTGCAGGAAGTATACAGTAATCTCTAGGATAATTACTAAAAGAATTAAAAACATGCATAACTGAAAAGCTAGTATAAGGGAAGAAACAGAATCATAACTTTTTAAAAACTTCACTGCACCATAAAAAAGAAAGAAGATAGTACCAAAAAAGGAAGTGTGTCAGGTGGTACAAGTACAATATAAATGGTAAGATGGTAAATTTAAACTCAAATGCATAATTACATTAATGATAAGCAAACGAAAGGAGTGAGACAAGTTTGGGTGAATAAGGAACAAGTATGAGTGAGCTCCAGCAGGGAAAGAGCCAAGGGAGGGCATGGAAGTGGCCAGAGAGCAGGAAAGGACTCAGACCCAGCTCAGGGGACAAGGTGAGGAGCTTGGCTGCTGAAGCAGAGGAGGGACCAGACCAGAGGGACTCACCTGTCTGGGATAGCCGTTCCAAACCTCCCATAGGTCATACACCCAAGGTTTCTGGAAAAAAAAAACAACAACAAGGAACCAAGAGAAAGTCAAAAGCTGATTTCAGCAGAGACATAAGCCCTTCCTGAGGTCACTGATAGGGAGCAAACACGCACAGGAAGACACACGTTGGTCACATTCCTGCTGCTCCGGCTGCACGCCTCTCCCTCTGCAGGTGTTCATACTTGTTCCCATACAACATCCCTGTGACATTCACAACTTCTAGTGATTCTGGGGCCAGAAGCAGTCCTGTCTCACAGAGGAAATTATTTATTTTAAACAAGTGCCTCTTCTTATGAAATTATTTCTGAACCAATTAGATTACTGCTTTTAGAGCAATAAAAATATCTTGAAAAATCTGTAGCAATAAAATATCTTAAGAAAAATCTTAAGAGAAGTCTCTAGAAACCAGTTATCTTTTTTTTCCGTGGACAATTTACTATTAAGTTTATACATCACTTAATGAGGTAATCATTTAATAATTATTTAGACAAAGCAAAAGGAATTTGATAAGGAGCGATTTGATTTCTGATGGGTGAGTAATAAAAGTCTTTATAAACAAATGGCCTTTGCCATGGGACCGGATGGAATCTGACAGGTAGAGAGAGGGGGAGGGCAAGGCATTTCTGGCAGAGGGCATAAAATGCACTGAGACCCAAAAGTGAGGATGTGCCGGGTATGTTCAGTGGATTGTCAGTGGTCCCATTTAGTTGGTGCATGGGCTGCATGAGTGGAAATAGGGAGAGATTAGGTTTAAAAAACAATTTTATAAATGCAAAGGTTTCACGAAGGCTTTGAAAGATAGACTGAGGAGTTGTTACTTCTCAAGGCATTACAGTGAGTAGAGATTTAAAAGCTGGCTATTGTATTGAAAGTATTATATCCCAAGGAATTCACAGGCAGGAATTTTAAAAATTAAAGACAAATTCCAATCAAAGATATCAAAAAGACAACTCACATCATAAAGAAATGCAATTCCGGCAACAGTGATCAGCAAGTAAAACGTAAAACGCCAGCTGCCAAAAGAAAGAAAAGTCTTGTAAAGGCGACTGACATCTGAGGAGAAAAACATTTGACACAGTGGTTTGGAAAGAATGCACATTCTGGAGTCTGAAAGATCTAAATTGATATCCTTAATTTGTCGCTTGTTAGATGGCTACAAGTTCAGGTAAGTCACTTAGCTCAGGGAGCCTTAGTTTCTTCATCAATAAAAAGGGATAATAAAACTTAACTCAAAACACAAAGAGAACCAAAGATAATTTACGACAGGTGTTGATCACAGTACCTAGCAAGAACTAAGTTGTCGCTGTTTCTATTACTAATATGCCTAGCCTGCCTCCTGACACACAGTAAACGATGGTTTGATAGTAGTAGTATTTAATCACTCATTTTATCCCAACTTAATTCCCACTGAAAAAGGTTTCTCTATGAGCACACGTTAGTAATTTCTCTGAAAAGCAGATTTTGAAAGAATATTTTTTCTCATGTATGGTGAAAGACCTTATTAGATTAAGAGATTTAAAAGGCTAATCATAACACGTAGGTCTTATTTAGATCCTCATTCAAATAAACAAACTGCAAAGAAAATTATGAGACAATCAAGGGAATCTGAACAGTAATTAGATATTTGCTGTTACTAAATAAAAATTATAAGGTATGATACTGGTATTGCAGTTATATTTAAAACAGTCCTTATCTTTTAGAGATACCCACTAAAATACTTACAAACAAAATCATACAATGTCTGATATTTGCTTCGAAAGTGGTCTTCAATAATAAATGGATGAAGGTGATGGAAAGGTACAAACTTCTAGTTATAAGATAAATAAGTACTGGGGATGTGATGTACAAGATGGTGACTGTAGTTAACACTGCTGTGTGGCATATTTGACAGCTGCTAAGAGACTAGGTACTAAAAGTTCTCATCACGAGAAAAAAAAAGGCTTTTTTCCCCCTTTTTCTTCATGTGTCTATGTGAGATGATAGATAAACTAAATTCATTGTGGCAATCATTTCACAATATTCATAAGTCACTATGCTGTACAGCTTAAATTTATCCAGTGCTGTATTTCAAATACATCTCAATGAAACTGAAAAAAAACCCATCCACATACAAAAAAGGAATCTGTGGAGGGGGACAGAAGTAGACGGGGACAGAGATGACACAGGATTGCCTTGAGTTGATAATTATTAAAGCTGGTGATGGAAACATATCACACACAGTTCATTAAGCTAGTCTTTCTACTGTCTATGTGGCTTTGTAAAGTAAAAAGCTTTTTTAAAAAATTACTGCTTATTTTACCTAATGATTGCCAAAGCAACAATGGTATTAATAGTATTTGTTCCTTACGTTTGTATAATGCCTTAAAGTACTTTCCTCGACGTGCCTGTAAGATAAATAAGAAAGAGGGATATAGGCATATTCCCATGTCGTAGATGAAAACCAGGCTCGTGAAGGCTGGGCCGACCCCCAGCTCACATGGCTGAGCAGTAACACAGCTGCGGCAGAAGCACAGGTCTTTGGACTCTGAGTCCAGCGGTATTGCCTGGATATTGTCAGTCTCTGAGCTGGATGACAGTTTTTCTTCCTCAGACAGTTGAACCAGAAAAATACCCAAGGGGAATTTTATAAAATGAGCCAGTTGAGACCTGTTCACACTTGTGTGTTTTTTTTTTATAGTTGGTCCAGCAAAGCCCCACACTTAGATGCGGAGAGCATTTCCCTGGTCCCTGACTAGGGGGCCAAATAAGAAGCACAAAAAAGAGATGAGTCTGGGTGGCACATCTCGTATTACTTGTGTCTCAAACACGGACTGACCTCTTGACCCTGAGCCCGGCCCTGTGCTAAGCACGCCTGTGCGACGTCACATTTTCTTCTTCAGAACAAAGTGCTGAAGTAGGTAGGCTCTATCATTAGCCCCTTTTTATGGATGTTGCTTGGTTCTCACAGCAACCCTAACAGGTAGGTAAGAGGAACAGTAAAAGGTGCTGAGGGTGAGAGAGCTCACAGAACTCACCCAAGGCTGTACAGCGATAACCAGTGCAAGAGTGCAATCCCAGTTTCACGTCCGTCGGGACCACTCCCACCAGGTCCACTTCACTATACCAAGGCTTCTCAAAGACAGGGGCCCCGACATCAAAATACTCTGAGAAGAACACTGAAACGCTCTTCGCCTTTTTCTCACTCATCCCTTCTCAAGCGTGCAGCAGCACTCTCCAGGGGCTACGTGACCCGTGACGGCGCTGCTGCTCTGGCAGCTGATGAAACGTGTGCCTGTGTGGTCTGACGTTTCATACGTGTCTCAGTTTTAATTTCTGTCAACAGGTATAACACACATGAGCAGATGCTCTTTGGGGTCTGTAATAGTTTTTAAGAGAACAAAGGGGTCCTGAAACCAAAAAGGTTGCGAGCTGCTGGGCTTCACTAATTACAAGATGAATGATGACATTCTTGTCAACGCAGTCTTCCTTTCCTCAAATGAACCTAAGGCAGTAAAACGTCCTTTTTTTTTTCTTCTTTTTTTTTTTCCAGGAAGGGCTGAGACAAATAAAATTGTAAGAGCACAAAAACTCTTGGGGAAAAAATCCAGAAGTTGATGGTGATGTTGAAAGAAGATCAGACTGCTGGGTGGGATGAGGGAGGAACTGGACAGAGTGGACTCGAGCGACGTGAGAGAAGCTGACAGGACAGACGTGGGGCTCAACACGGGACAGGGGACTGAGAGGAGCAGGCGGTGGACCTGCACCAGGGCCCGCTGGGCAAGAGGCAGTCCAGCCAGCCGGAGAAGAGCAGACGCCTCTCTCCAGCACTAGGGGAGCAGCCCAGCTGTGCACACCAGGTACTTGGAAATCACCTGGTGTTTTTAATTAAACTTCTCATTCCTCAATGGAAATGCTTATTTTAAAAAGGGATCAGCTAATATGGAATCTGATTGAAAAATGAAGGATTCACTATGGATTAAAATCCTGAAGGCTGGTGAAACAGCGTTTAGGGGTCATCCTTAAAGAAAGTAACCAAGGAAACATCACACTGAATTTGAGTTGCTCAGAAGCCAATCTATCCCGGTATCTTGGAGGAGTTTCTGCCTGCTGGAGAATAATCTGTTTGCTCTGTGCTGGGAGATACGTTTCTGAGATTTCCAGTGGAGCTGGGTACCTCTCGCTGACTCCTGCGCACATTCCATAGCTGAGGGAATACAGTGCAGTCCCTACACAATTAAATAGCTTTGCATTTGCTTTAGTCTCCTTATTTAGTCCGTAATAACTTTTAACAGTTATCTGACTTACAGGAAATTTTTGATATTGCTAAAGAATAAGATAAAGCTTAAATTTTATTTGTGGATTCACTCCCATCTTCTGAATACATTGTATAATTTCCTTCTTCCTGCCTTTGCCTTCCTTCAAACATGCTGCCCTCAACCCACACTTTCTTTTCTTATGGAAATTCGGCTCCTTCATTCCTCAAGCTCTAGTTTGTGTCTGACTCTCAAACTCCTTTCTCTAACGCATCCAGCCCTAATGATGCCATCTCCTCTGAAGGCCCAGAGCACATCTGAACACAACAATGGACCACAGGCCCACGTGCTGCTGGGTGGGATGGAACAACAATAAATGCTGTGGTTTCATAAGTGACAATCTCGTCTCCTTGGTTGGCCATTTTAAGGCCAGTGATCATACTTCCCTCTTAAAACCTAGAACTCTGCGCAATGTAGGGCATGCCACGTGTAGAGAGGATGGTCAGCGTAACCCTCTGCAGACCGATAACGGCAGCTCAAAATTCCATTCTCTAAGCCTGAACTCTGCGGCTGAACTTCAGCGGACTCACTGACAACCAGATTTCCAGTGTTGGCCCTTCTGACCCAGTTACTTGACATAGGAGGTTCCCTGCTTCTAAGAGGTCAGTGTTAGGTGGCTGGGGCAGTACGGTAGAGCAGAAAGGGTATCAGAAAAGGAGTCAGAAGGCCTGAGGGGAACAGCCTCCCAACAGACAGGTGACCTTGAGCAAGTTCCTTAAAACTAGATGACGTGTAGTTTCTCATTTCTTAAAAAGGACCAACCTCACATTCCCTGACTGCCTCACACTGTTGCTGGGAGAATTAAACAAAAAAATTATTTATAAACTATAAGGTACTATAATGTATAAGAAATTACCAGAAATTTAACTGGAGTATGATTCAGCTCAGAGGTAGAGTTAGTCCCTGCCTGGGGACTTTATTTAGGATTAGAATCATTTGCTAGAAAGAATGAACAAATGAATGATCGCAGGAAAACAGAAGATGTGATATGAAAACAGCTCCACTTTGTAGAGTTTTGTGGTGATGGTTCAGAGAGGTTCACTCAGGCCAAGCTGACGCAGCAGCAACACAACATTAACCAATCTGTCAAGAGCTAAAACTCTGAGCGAAGCAGTTAGAAAGCAGAGACCAGGTCATACGCCTCCCGCCATTGCGGAAAGGCAGCGGAAGCCTGTGATGAGACGTAAACGGCTGTTTGGAGACCCTCTGAAGACTTGGTCTGCGCCTCTAAACATCAGTGGTGTCAGCGCTGGATGACAGTGCATGGCAACACCTGGGTAGTTAAAGGAATTCGTTAAAGTTTAGCTTTCTGCAGCCTCCATTTCTTTATCTGAGAGTCTTATACCAGCTCCCTGTCCATTTTGCCATCAGGACAAAAATAGCTGGTGAAAGCCACTAGGCAACATCAAGACCTTAAGAAATAGGCAAAAAGAAGGAATGCTGTTGGCAGGTAGAACGTGGCATCAAAGCAACCCAAGTGACGTGCAATTGTCTGGATGTAAAGAAGAGGAACAGAATAAGAGCAATGACCGAGGCCATCTTTTTGACACGGATGTCAGTTTTTGCCGCCAAGGGAGTGGCAAATCCATTCTGACCCCCTGCTAAACCACTCGGGAAACCCAGAGGAAGTGGCTGCCCCGTCCATGGGCAGGGGTGGGGCGAGAACCGAGAGAGACAGAAGAAGTCCTCTCCATTACTGTTGAGGGAGGAGACCCACGCTCTCTCAGACACTCTCTGCTCTTACAACGTGATAGAATAATTATGATGTGACTGCGTGAGCTAGGGCCAACCTGTACCCTAGAAAAGATAAACACTGGTTAAGACATTTTAATGATTCTTCTGCACTTCAAGATACATACATAATGTCTCCTGTCCCTCTAAAGGCGTTTATAACTTATCTTGTTTCATCAAGAAGGAAACAGAAGCACTAAAGGTAAATGAACGACTAGCATAAAACTCCTGACTGGTAAGTGACAGAGCGCGTTCAAACCCCTCCTCTGCTCCAATCTCAGGGTTCTTTCTGAGATGACTATCCTGCTCCACATAAAACTGCACCATTTCAAAGCCTGTGACTACCCTTCTTACCAAGCTTCCTGGAATTTCTTCATCCTGCAAGGCTTATCTTGATTCCGCCGACTCCTAAACCATCGCTCAACCTGGCGCTCTGTCAAGTTACACTTCTTTGCCAGTCCATAAATATCAGTCTGAAAGGGGATGAAACAAATGAATGAGTGCCTAAGAGCAGAGTCAGGCTGGCAGGCAGTCAAGAGACAGGGAGACCGGGTTAGGAGAGCTCATGCACCAAAGAGGGGAAAGAGTCCGCATTAGACCGTGAGCCAGCGCACTTACCTCTTTTGCTCATGGAATCACACTGATACACCCCAAAACGGAGAGAAGGTCAGTTCCCAGAACTCTGAGTTAGTAAGAAAGACCAAATCTCCATAAGTTGGTAGCAACTCATATGTTCAAGTTGCATATGTGGCTCACTCATTCAGCCAATTTTATTCAGGGCCTCCTAGGTTCCATGTAGAGTCATATGGTTTAAGATAGCTATCAAATCCAATCTCTTCATTTTTCCTATGAGGGACATGGAACCCTGAGAGTTTTTAATAACTTGTCCAAGACCTAAAATTAGTAGCAAAGTGAGGATAAGAAATTAGGCTGGTGCACTTTCTGTTATTTCGCATGATCTTTCTAGCAGCTCCAAAAGATCATACAGGGAAAACTCAAACAGTTGCTGGCCATCACATTCACATTTAATCAGATGTACAGCCTATTTCAAACTAATCCAAAACAACTCCGATCATTAAGGAATAAGGACTGCCAGACTATAATGATGATTGCTTCTCTTCTGGGAAGCAAAAGTTGTAGGTTATGATTTTAAATTGAAAACAATACGGAGGTTGGATTAGCTCAAAGGTCACAAACGTGAAGCTCTCCCCGGGCCAGACAAGAAACAGAAATCACTGGGTGGACCAGGTCTGCTTCAAGGTGGGCTTTTAAGCTGTATTCTTTCAACACAGGCATGTTTTATATGTTGCACCTGTACTACTTTCCATTTCCACAAAGAAATAAGCTCCACAATTTTTTTTTTGGCAACATCAGTTGAGTGCAAGAAATATTTCAGTTTATTTCTAACTGTACTATGAGAAAAATAAAATTGCAGAAAACTGACCCTCTGCCTCAGCTGTAAGGAAACAGGCAGGTGCCATACGGATGCAGCAAACAGAAAAGCACGTGCTCGCTCTCCAGAGCTGGCTCACCGCCGCCGGCCCCCAGAAAGTGCAGTCCCAGGAATTTGATGGGAAATTGCTAGTTTAAAAAAAAAATGTTGGCCAATACCTCAAAGTGAATTTAAAACAGTCGTGGACCAAGACCGTGAGGGCCAAAGAAAGCGTGGGTGTGGACCAGAGGGCAGGACACTCAGCCGCGCGTGACCAGCCGTGGGGCACCGGCTACGTTACTGCGTACAGTTTACGTAACTGGTCGGGTGCGCAGGGTGACAACAGGTAAAAGGCCTAAAGGAGCGCTCATGCTGAAGACAGGCGAAGGGCTAAAGGCAGCTTCTACATATCCACTGAGTTGCCAACCAGCTACGTAATCTGAAGAGAAAGAAAGCAAAGCAAAGCAAGATACAGCCCATGTTTCTCTGTAAATCGCCCTAATACCTACTCTTCCATAGGCCAAGGTTCACCTGCTGTTTTGTTGTTTTGTCTCCTTTTGCTTTTGTGTCTCTGACGAGACTCAGTAGGCAACCATTGATCGGTGCCTACTTTGCAGGCACTGTGTGCCTTCAGAGATCTAAATGAACAGGATTGGTATGGGCCTCCTCTTCACAGAATAAAGCCTGTCGGGCAAGGAAGTCAGAAAATACAACAAAGCCTTCTAATAAAATGTGATGAGTGCTGAGACGGGGAGAATCGGGGTACCATGGGACCTAAATTTATGTAGGCAGTTCCTGGAAGTCACAGTTAGACCAAACCCTGAAAAATGCCCCACGAAGGAGAGGATGAAGAAGGAAAGTATCCTGGCGGGAGGACCAGCAAGTGGTCTGGAGATGAGAGCCTGGAGGAACTGGGAGCATCTGAGGAATAGAAAGAAGCCTCACAAGGTAGAAACATACAGAGAAGCAACGAGGAAAGATGTGGCTAGGGCCACACAAATGGGGGCGTGGGGTGGAATTTATCTTGCAGATTACAGGATGTTTGCATTGTGAAGTCCCCCCACCCACCTTGCAGCCTGTAAAGAACAAAGCACCAGGAGTGAGAGTGGAGGTGGAGACAGCGTTCACTTTGCCCTTTCGTCCTGCAGTGAGGACCCTGCACTCCAGGCTGGACAAATCTGGAGGTTTGGGTCCACTAATCCAGGCAGCAGGTGGTCATCACACTCCTGCCGCAGGAAGAGGGCACGGCAGGTCCTGGGGCCACAGAATGTGGGAGGAATGGCAGGGAACTGAAAACGGAAGGTCCAGTTCTGCTGCCTCGAGCACTATGTCTGACCCGCTGTGGGAAGTGATATATCGGCAACAAGAGTGTTTGCTTCCTGCCTCAAGGGAGGGGTTTGAGGATCTGGGCGCTCAGTCTAACATTCTATCATGCGCTAGGTCAGTGCTGGAGATTATGGCTGAACCCAGAAAGAGACCGTGGACTGAAAATCTTTTAAGAAAAAAACATCCCTTTACATCCAATAAAACCTGTAAACATGAACAGATCCCACAAACAGGATATAATTCAAATCCTGTTGCCTAGTCCACAGCAGGACGTATTCTGAAATGTGGTGGCCCTGTGTTCTGTGAGCTCTTGGATGAAAATGGCTCGAGGTCTAGCTTGACTGAAAGGTTTTATTCATTCACAAACATTTAGTGAGCCTTTGCTCGCTAGCGCCGGGCTGTTCTGCTGTTCTGGGCACTGCAGAGCAAGACAGCAGGCAGCAGAACAAAGTCCTCCCCATACTGGAATCTTCCCAGGTCTGAGAACAATCCAATTTTATTATCCCATCATTTCTACAGACACCTGCTGAATAAATGCTTCTGGAAGATACCAATCAAACGTGATCTGAAGCATTTTTTTCTGCTTTGGAGCTCAGAGGAAGCTGGTTGAAACTCAGCCTTGGCAATGCTGGCCTCACACGCTACAATATTATTGGGATAGAAATTATCTTGCAAACAGAAGTCTCCAGTAGTATTTGCTCATTAATATGTAAAAGAAGCATTTATTGAACACCTAAAATGCACAGAAAATTGACGTTAAGGGAATAGAAACAAGCATAATTAGGAAACAAGTGATGTTTCCTTGGGATAATTGAAGAAGTCAGTATAAACACAGACGACAGATAACAACAGCTGACCTTTACCGTGTGCCGGGCACTATTCTGAGTACTCAACTCAGTCCTCGCAAGAGCCCTGTGAGGTAAGCGTTGTTAACAAACTCAGTTCACAGAGGGGGAGGCTGGGGTTAACCTGCCCACCTCCACACACAGTCTGCAACAGAGCCAGAGCCTGGAGCACACAGTCTGTCCTCACAATCTGTGTGTATGGCCCGGACACTACAGAGAGTAAAGGGGGGTAGTTATGTGGCCTGGGGGAAGAGCCCTGAGTGAGGCCACGAGGCCTGGCTCCTCGACGCAAAAACCAATCCCCTGGGACCACGGAGGACCCACTCGCCCTCTTTGGCTCTCACATGTCTCGCCTGTAAAATAAACTGGACTAGAGAGTTTTTCGCTCTGCAAATGTTTGAATCTACAGTTGAGACAAGCTCGCAAACTGGAACGCACCCGTGGACCACAAAACCTGCTTTGCGCCAGTCTCCCAGTGCCACGTTTTCTTTAGCTCTCCTCCAGAACTACACACTTGTTTGTCGCGTATCGGTTCTCACTGTGTTTTTGCTGAAGAAAAGGGCTAGACGAGGTCTGTTGTTACTTCATTTTACTGAAAGCAGGAAAAGTGACCTGCTGGTTAGGGCTGTTGGTCTGTTATCACGGTTCTCTCTCAGTACATCTTGAAGTTGTGACTGGGATATGCGCAGAGAGAGAGACACACACTTGTACAAACAGTGGGCACAGAGCTGCACATATACAGTCACGAAAGAAGTGTGAGAAATCACAGATCAAAACTTTCCCCGGCGGTTCACGTGTACAGCATTTTGGACCTCCCTCATCAATACCATGTTATACCCTTCTGTGCTGACCCGCCCGGAAGTGACTCTGTATATACTGGAATGTTTTTGTTTTTATTGGTGCCATCCAAAGCAGCTAAAGAAGCACCCGCAGACTCCTGTCCTCACTGTTTCAGTAAGGTCAGGTGTCACGTACCTGTATCACCACAGCAGGGCCATTGCAGGTGTGAAATACTTTGTTAGAGGTAATATCCATCTCTTCAACCAGCACAAAACTTTTTTCAGCCCTCTCAGCAACCTGTCTTACCTCAGCTATAAATTAAGCAAAATGCTATCTGTATGACACTGGTCAAGTTACGTGTGTTGGAGGCACTGTGACATTATTTCATTTCCACATCTGCAATCACTATTAAGTCATGCACTTTGCCTTCCTCTCTTATATTCTATCTTCCTAAGTTCTGGTACTTTGCATCTGAGGGCATTTTACTGGTCAGCTTACTGTCATCTTGATCTGTTATACAATTACTGCCTCAATTTTATAATCGATGAGCAATGTAAGTCAGGAGTCTCGATGTTGTTCATTCATCGTCTTGGTTTACTAGATGAAGCTTTCTAATACTTTGGGGCTGATATATAATGTTTCTTCTTCCACCTAATGCAGATGTCCAAATTATATCTACATTAAGCTACAGCACACTGCCAATTGACTTGGAACACTTACTTACAAACACAGCTCCAGCCTTTGCAATACGTTTTTAACATTCTATTCACAAGTAAAGATGTCCCTTGGGCACAGTAGAAACAACACAATAGGGAGCTAAAGGCCAGGGTCCAGCTTTGGATTCAGCCACTAATCAGCTGCTTGACCCTGGACAGCTCATTTCTTCTGTTGAGTCAGTTTCCACATCTCAGTCACAAAGAGGAAAAACGATCTAATCTCTAAATCTCTTTTAGCTTTCCGTAGTTTTTTTTTTTAACTGTCATATGGCTATTTCTCTCCATCACAGGGAAACCTGATAAGAACCAAACTTTCTATTTAGTTTTAAATATTCTAAAAAGCTGACTGGAAGCTCTTGCTACAGCAAGCACAGCAAGTTACTGACAGCTAGCATTGTCCTTCACGTTTTATACACGGCGTTGCCAAGGTCAGTTATTCTCAGACAGAAACAGGGAAGGATAGTAAAGACTCTCTGGAAGCGTCCCAACTTTTCATAAACACAGCTAAATAATTTCCCCTCTGAAAAACTTTACAAGATGCTTAGGCATTCTTATTACCAAGTGGTAACAACAGTATTTGAACGAATAACTGCAGTCTTTTAGAGCACGTGCAGATAAAGAACATGTGGAGACAGCTGGTCAGACTGTCCTCATTTTAGGGAAAAAGTCAAATACAGAAGCCGAAGGCAGAAGAAGTTAGAGGCAGTGCTGGCTGGCCACAAGCAATTGTGGACATGACGCCTCATCCTGTGTGGTCAGATCTCAACATGGCCTCCTTGTGCAGGAAGCCCACCAGCCCAATGATAGAAATGGTCGTGGGAGAAGCAATGAATTCAGCAATTAAGTTCAGGACCTTAAAAAAAAATCTACCTATCCTAAAACTGTGTTAGCATATACTCTTGACTTTAAAAATTACTCATGAGAGCTGTCTGTCTTTATCATAGAGGGTGTGCAACTTTTGGAGAAGTTTTTATTTCATCTCCCATTTATATATGGCGGTATAATGAAACTAGACCTGCCTAGACACCATTCTTTGTTACAACTATTAGGTTAAAACCTTTTCCTATGGTATGCAAACATGCAGAGCGCTACAACACTTCATCAAGTACATCTCAGACTGAGACGAGAACTGTGACTCTCTGACATTTCCATCTCTGGGCCGCGAGCAGAGGCATAGTATATTTCTGAGTGTTCTGAGGCCTTAGATAAAATAAAGTATCCTGCTCAGGAAAGCCACTCAACAGACAGTTTTATAGTGTGTGTTGTGTATACTGATGGTGCCATAATCATCAAAAGTGTCAGAGATGGGCTACTCTGCCTTAACAATTTTTTAAATTAGTATACTTTGTATATATCCTACCATTAAAAATTAAATTTTGATCTTTGCACCCAAATTACAGCATTGATTGTTAGTGCTCAATACTGTAGTTGAACACAACAGTTCAACTAGTAACGTCTGCTATTTTATATTATAATATTTATTTATCATTTTATATGATGCTTGGAATGTTGTATAACCTAGCAACAGAGGGAAAAAATCCAAATGAATCAAAACATGTGCTGGTCAACTAGAGCAGATTTCTTGCACAGATTGAGGTAAGTCATAGATGATTAAAACATTAAGAAGATTTTAAAATTCAAAAACAGAGAGTTTGTACTTACTTGAGATGGCTGTCTTGTGGAATATTTAAAAAAATTCTCTAAGACGGTATTTGGCATAATCTTTCGAACTTCCTCTTTAATGCCCAATGTTTTTGCTAGAGGTGAAGCAATAAACCTACAAAAATATAAAAGAAGCTCAAAATCTGACAATGAATCCACAATGTCACCAAAAAACTCAAGCTGTAACATTAGATTCCAAATGAAAGATCAATTATTGGGCTACCTACAGCCAATATCTGCCTTAGAGAAGTTCAAAGAGAGCAAATTTTGAGAACTCTTATACAAGCAACAACTTAATATAATAAAATACAGTTGACTAACAACACAGGGGTTGCGGGCACCAACCCCCAGGAGCACTACTGAAAATTCTCCTCCTGTAACTAATAGTCAGCCCCATGTAGGTGGTTCCTCTGTACCTGAGGTTCCCCATCCGTGGATTCAAACAGCCACAGATCTAGTACTGCAGTATTTCTAACTGAAGAAATCTGCTTATAAGTGGAACCTGTAGGCCAAATCCTTGTTGTTCAAAGGTCAACTGTCCTTGCACAGTTCTAAAACACATTTTATGTAAATCCAAATATATTTATGTACAAGATCCAGGAACTGAGATAAGCCATTCCACTTAGAGTTTCATTTTATAGACTACCAGGGGTTAAAATAAATAATAGTTTTGCTATTAAAAGTTTTATGGGGTGGTATGACCTTAAAGACATTAATATGTCCCTATTTGAACTTCTAACTTATGAAAAAATGGCATAACTCTTAGGTAAACACCTAGGAATGGGATGGATGGGTAGTATGGCAAGCATACATTTAACTTTACAAGAAATTGGCAAATTGTTTTCCAAAGTGACTGTGCCATTTTACATTCCCACCAATAATGTGCCAATGTCCCAGTTACTCCAGATCCCTGCCAATAGTTAGTATTGCCAGTCTTTTTAATTTTAGCAATTCTACTGGGTGTGTAGGGGTTTTTACTGATTTTCCACTCTAAGTTTTATTATTTCCTAACTTCTGCTTGTTATAAATTTAGTTTGCTTTTCTTCTAGTTTCTTAAGGTAGAAGGATAGATTACTGATTTGAGAGCTTTCTTTTTTTTAAACATAGTTGTTTACTGTAAATTTCCTGCTAAGTACTGCTTTTGCTGAAATTCATAAACTTTGGTATGGTGCCTTCTTTTTCATTCATCTCAAAGTATTTTCTATTTTACCTCGTGACTTTTCTTCTGATAGATTTACCCTTTTATAGTATAAAATGTCCTTTGTCTCTAGTAATAATTTAAAGGCTGTTAAAGACTAAGTTGTCTGATATTAGTACAGCCACTTCAGCCCTCTTTTGGTTACTGGTTGCACAGTATATATTTTCCCATCCTTTTACTTTCGACTTGTTTATATCTTTAAATCTAAAGGGTGTCTCTCGTAGAAACCAGATAGTTGGATCATATATTTCTATCTATTCCTCCTATCTATACCTTTTAGTTGCAGTATTTAATCCATTTACATTTAATGTAAATTGCATTTAATTACTGATAAGACAGGACTTATATCTGCCATTTAGCTATTTGTCTTCTATATATCTTATGCCTATTTTGTGCCTCTATTCTTCCATTACTATCTTCTTTGTGTTAAATAGATATTTTCTAGTGTACCTTTTAAATTCTTTTTTTTTTACTATTTAAAAAAGTATCTTCTTAGTGATTACCTAGAGATTATAATTAGCATCTTAATTCATAACCCCCTAGTTCAGATTAATGCCAAAATAATTTCAGCACTATACAAAAACTCCATTACCTCCCCTCTCTGTGCTGTTACTGTTATGTAAATTATATATTTATAAACTGTGCTCTAATCAACATACATTTATGATTATTATTTTCTGCAGTTGCCTTTTAAATCAGATAGGGGAAAATGTGTTACAAGCAAAAAATGCATTTATACTTTCTTTTTATTTCTTAAGTAGGCACCTTT